TAACCACAAATTCTAATGAACATCATATTTATTTAATCGATTCTTTCACATTAAATTTAAATATAATTTATATTCAATGTGATAAACATATTATGATTTTCACATTTCCATCAAATTTATCCATTTGAAAATATAATTTTATTGAATTTTCCCAAATTTGATTTTTAGTTTAGGATATATACTCGAAATCCAACAGAATATACACCCAATAGTATTCCCAATCCAATACCCATATTTTGAAATCATAAGTCACCACTTGTACAATGTTAAAGCAGTTCCATTATCATCCCCAATTTTGTGACCATTATATTCCCCCAAATGTTAAAATTCCTCAATATATAACACTTACATTGAAAGCCTAAATATGGTCCAAAAGTGTCCCCACTTTTCAACGACTGTTAGCATTACATGAAAAAAGTAAAAATCATTGCAAACGTAATAATTAAACAAAATGTTGTCTAAAACTCGAAATAAACTGTTTTTGAAACATAAATACTATTTTGTAAGTAAAATCTAAAAGAGTTGATACATGGAATGATTACATGTCCATTATAATTACGAATTCCATTATTATTCCCACTTTTCGAACATTTCACATGTTATATTGGAATTTATTGCAATATATTAGAAATAGGCATAAACTTTAACTATAAACATGATTAATTTAAATGTTCAAATAAATGCTCATAATGCTAAATGATTTACTAAATGGATATTGATTATAAGAATCTTTTATAAATAAATCATTTATTTAACTTTATTTTATTGAAAATTGAATTAATTATAATGTATTGAATTTCATTTTAAATTCTCTGAATTCAAACTGAATTTAAGACAGAAATAATTTTTTCTATTTTTATTCCTGAATACAAATTATATAACATGTTTATAGAATACTATGACTTAAGTCCATAAGCCACGAAATATTGGCAATTAGTATTTGCAAACATTGTTCAGTTATTTTGTATATAATTAATGGTATAATCAGTGGATTTATTGATTATATCCTGTATTTTCCTGACAGTATTTCAGTTCTTCAGTGAATAATCAATTTAGAGAAGTTTTTTCTTCTTAATCTGATGTATAGATCCTTTTCTATCATTAATTAAATTAGAAATGTATAACATTTGGTAAAATGGTATAAATATATTGACTCATTCAACATATCATTCACTAAATAATTCTATTTATTTCTATACATTTTTTAATGTTCACAACATATAAATAATTCCGTTTGCAATAGTGAGCGGAATAGACACGATCATCATTTAGTAGATATAACTTACGTGTTTTAATGAGCAAATATAGCATTATGATGAATATTTAATGTGTGCTGAAAACCCATTTAGGTAATTCTGGAGATAGGGCCCGCCCGGGGCAACAACTTTGAATTCTATCCTTCAAACTGTCGCGTAATAGCGTTGGACTATAACAGCTATTTTGAGAAATATTTTCGCGAAAACAAATCCAAATTTCCGAATATTTTATGCGAAGATTTTGTGAACGGAAGGGCAGAAGACATGCGAGAGATTGAAGACAATTCAGTGGATGNTTTATAAGCATGTGTTTTACTTACAAAAATATGGGTTAAAGTTCAGGTATCATTTTTGAGCATTACTTTATTTTTTACCTAGATATAATTTTTATTTTCCATGGTTTCTTTAAAATTCCCTCTCGGAAACATGTGAATTTTAGGCGTTTTAAATTAATGGATAACATTAATTAAATTACAATATTTTATAAATATATTTACGAAAAATGTTTGCTTTTAAACAAAATGTGAATAAAATTGAAAGATATTTGAGTTTTCAATCACTTTGACTATAAATGGGATCGAAATTGAAAAGAAGAAAAATATTATTTATTAGATTAACAGAATTGATAGTTTGATATGAGATTGCAATGCATTGGATGTGATAACAATTGGTGGTCAAAGTGGGAGACGACTGTTATTGCAATGTTATGTTAATCTGAATTAATATTTATGGAAAATATATCTTATATTATACTTAAATATATATTTATAAATATAGTTTTTTCATAAAATGCGAGTTTATATTCAATAAATGAATTAAATCAAGTGCTCAGCACTGAAAAGTAGGGAAAGAACAATGCATTAGTGGTGGGGTAACCACCGGTCCTCTCGCTTCCAGCCATTTATTAATAGGCTTTAAATAAATGAACGATTTTTTAATTAAAGGATTGAAAGTTATTTTAATAATGCTTTTAAATAATGATTGATGTTTTAATGGCATTAAAGACAGTGTTTTGAATGTGTGCTGAATGTTAGCGTGCATTGTCACCGAGTAGTAGAGTGTGTAGTAGTGGTGAGACCTGTGTTAGTACGAGAGAGTGGATGATAATAATGACAAAGATTGCAATTGAATGAATGCATGGCAGATGAAAAGATGTCCTGTTCTCTACCATAGGATCGATATTAATAGATATAACACTATAGGAGTGATAGAAATGCGCAAAACTATGAACACAACGAGTCTTTTGCAAACGATAGCAGAGTTTGTACTCAACTCTACACTACTCTAGATCTAAATCAAAGCACATTAGTATAACATCGCCAGTGAATGTTCAGCACTAATACTAAATACAATTAATCTTTTGGTTTTTGTTTAAATTTGTAATTATTTTTGTTTTAAAAGCGTTTCTTCTGTTTATTTAATGACAGAGACGTAAAAAAGTGAAGAAAAGAGTCTTTCGTTGCATTCATTTGCTTTCATCTAATGATTGATGTATTTCTTTGACAAAACAGTTTTGTCTCAACTATTCTAACGTTGTATTCATCGATGTTTTTGTGGAGAAAATATTTGCTAAAAGTTTTTCGTAACTGAAGACGACATTCATCTATACTTTGATTGATTAACATTTCTCTGCCATTCGTTTATTGCTTATATTAATTTCAATTATAACTGCAATTTGTGTATAAATTTGTGACCAAATGATGCCAACAATGGACTTCTGGGCCAATTTGTCGATCGTATCATTTTATTTGTTTGCAGTGATAATCAGTATATTTTTACTGCTCTTAACATTGCTCTATGCGAGCGAACAGTTCCGCAAATTATGGTTTTCGTGGTTTTATACCATATTTTGCACACCAGTTATCAAACGAGGAGGAAATGCCATCAGAGCTAAACTTTTCGATAAACTTTCACGTTTTGAATCCACCGATTGTTCACAACTCGTAATATTATATCTATTATTCATTTCTTCTTTAGTTTTAAATATTTGATAAATTATTTATTAGAAGAGAATATTTTTGGCATTTTTATATCAAATTATATTATTATTATTATTCCATTGAATAAATCTTTTGCATGTATTTTGAAGAGTATTTCATGAATGAAAACATTTTATGTTTTGCTAAAAAGCATAAAAATGTCTGTTTTGTAAATCAAAAAACACTATAGCGTCCAAAAATATAAAAGTCTTTACAAATGGAGTATAAAGTGAATGGGAATTGCATTTTGCATTCATATTCTCTAAAAGCTTTTTAAAATCAATTTTAAAATTTCTAATTGTTTTCTGAGTTAAACATTCATTGAATTTAACCACAAATTCTAATGAACATCATATTTATTTAATCGATTCTTTCACATTAAATTTAAATATAATTTATATTCAATGTGATAAACATATTATGATTTTCACATTTCCATCAAATTTATCCATTTGTAAATATAATTTTATTGAATTTTTCCAAATTTGATTTTTAGTTTAGGATATATACTCGAAATCCAACAGAATATACACCCAACAGTATTCCAAAACCAATACCCATATTTTGAAATCATAAGTCACCACTTGTACAATGTTAAAGCAGGTCCATTATGATCCCCAATTTTGTGACCATTATAATCCCCCAAATGTTAGAATTCCTCAATATATAACACTCACATTGAAAGCCATACTAAATATGGTCCAAAAGTGTCCCCACTTTTTATCGACTGTTAGCATTACATGAAAAAAGTAAAAATCATTGCAAACGTAATAATTAAACAAAATGTTGTCTAAAACTCGAAATAAACTGTTTTTGAGACATAAATACTATTTTGTAAGTAAAATCTGAAAGAGTTGATACATGGAGTGATTACATGTCCATTATAATTACAACTTCCATTATTGTTCCCACTTTTCTAACATTTCAGATGTTATATTGGAATTGAAGTTTATTGCAATATATTCCATATTAGAAATAGGTATACTCTAACTATAAACATGATGGATTTAAATGTTCAAATAAATGCTCATAATGCTAAATGATTTACTAAATGGATATTGATTAAAAGAATCTCTTATAAATAAATCATTTATTTAACTTTATTTGATTGAAAATTGAATTAATTATAATGTATTGAATTTCATTTTAAATTCTCTCTGAATTCAAACTGAATTTAAGACAGAAATAATTTTTTTTATTTTTAAATCAAATTCTTAAATACAAATTATATAACATGTTTACAAAAGACTATGACTTAAGTCCTTAAGCCGCGAAATATTGGCAATTAGTATTTGCAAACATTGTTTAGTTATTTTGTATATAATTAATGGTATAATCAGTGGATTTATTGATTATATCCTGTATTTTCTTGACATTATTTCAGTTCTTCAGTGAATAATCAATTTAGAGAAGTTTTTTCTTCTTAATCTGATGTATAGATCCTTTTCTATCATTAATTAAATTAGAAATGTATAACATTTGCTAAAATGGTATAAATATATTGACTCATTCAACATATCATTCACTAAATAATTCTATTTATTTCTATACATTTTTTAATGTTCACAACATATAAATAATTCCGTTTGCAATAGTGAGCGGAATAGACACGATCATCATTTAGTAGATATAACTTACGTGTTTTAATGAGCAAATATAGCATTATGATGAATATTTAATGTGTGCTGAAAACCCATTTAGGTAATTCTGGAGATAGGGCCCGCCCGGGGCAACAACTTTGAATTCTATCCTTCAAACTGTCGCGTAATAGCGTTGGACTATAACAGCTATTTTGAGAAATATTTTCGCGAAAACAAATCCAAATTTCCGAATATTTTATGCGAAGATTTTGTGAACGGAAGGGCAGAAGACATGCGAGAGATTGAAGACAATTCAGTGGATGTCGTGGTCGCCACTTATGTCTTGTGTAGTGTTAAAGACCGCTACAAAACACTTCGAGAAATCCAAAGAGTTCTCAAAAAAGTAAGTCTATTCATAAGTACAGAGGTTTGCAAAATGCACGACAATACTCCAAATTAGATTATTGTTATTCTGTAACAGCAATATTATTTTTGCGCAAGGTTATTGCATTTCATAAATAAGTTTTAACTATTATTTACATATTTTTTGATTTCATATTTGCAAAAATTGCTCTCAAAATAATTCTTCATCTCTCATTGATTATTTATATCATATTATATAAAGTGGCATAATATAAATATGAACTATGATCTTCATTTTTAGCCTTCCTCTCGAAAGGTCAAATATCGTACCCCATATTGCGTTAATTAGGAAAGTGCTTAAAAACTAATTTTGCAACCCTCTGTATAACCCTTTGTATAACTATTCCGGGATTAAAACACGACAACAACAGAATATTTTATATGCAATTCTTTCACTAAAAATGCAATTTATTTCAAGTTTTAATAATAAGAAACACTTGACAAGATGAATTAAAATAAATGAAAAATAACATAAAACGTGTAATTAATAGGGAGGCACATACTATTTCATGGAACACGTTGGATACCCCCACACCAGCAGTTGGCATATCTTCTTATTTGCAATTCAATTACTTCTGCAGCCGTTTTGGTACGCATTCCTCGGCGGCTGTCATTGTCACCGCCAGTCCTGGTCCTACATAGAGAAGGCAGGCTTTCATACACTTGATCTCAATTACGAATATCCAAACGAAATGGTATTCATAGCCAGAGCTCACATCTGGGGAACCGCTACTACACACCAATCGGATGATTGCAATCACAAGAAATAATAGTAATTCTTGTCGTTTTAGGAATAAATTATTATTATTTGTCAAACAATTCTTAATTATATATATTGTCATCCAATACAAGAATTTGTGAGAAATGTTTTCAACAATAGTATACACGTTGTTATAAAAATTCTTTCCAATAATAAGAATTTTTAATACACTTTTGGATCACTCCATCTGATCCCTACTATATCTATGTGATCATCGATTGAGTTACAAAAACAATACAATAAATATTATATATTGGAAAAATCATTTTCCTTTTGCGGAAAAGAGTGTTTTGCTGTAAAATCTTAGATTCGTTTAATAGACGATGTGTTTGATTGAGAATTATTTATTTATAGCTTTCTATTACATGTTTGTGGAACTCAACGTTTTCATGGTTTTTGTTTGATGAAAAACAATACATTGTTATACTGTATGATATCGTAATCTATACATTGTATAGACAAATAATACACAATACAGTAAAAGACCATTTGTGTGAACTGAAAATTCAGCTTTTGGTTCACACAATTGCTAAGTTCACACAGCTGACATTTTTTAACGTTGGGTTTATGGGCTGCTGGTTTTGGTTTAGTTCACACAAATGCTAGTTTACACAGATGGTCTTTTACAGTATTTATAATTAAAAAATGAATAATAATTATATAATTTATAGCAATTTTCTTGTTTTGTTTGTGAATTATAAATACAGAATTTGTAATCTCAATACAATATCTTCGAATTGGCAATAATACTAGGAATCAGTAGTTTCTTAAGGAATTTACACTCAATACAAATATTTGACATAATTTAACCAAATTTAGATATAAATTATATGAAATATTTAAAATTCATAATTTGTAATAAACTATTGATAAAGTTTTTTAAATAATCAAAATTAAAATATTGATTGAGTGAAGAAAAGCATAAATAAATTATTAATGAAAAGAATAAATGAATAATTCATTAATCAAGAATTTTCAGGTGTTTTAGAAGTTTTGATTTTTATTAATAAAACAATATTTAAGATAAACGAACAAAACATAAGCCGTGAGAGGAGAACATAAATCAATGACAAAACCAATACTTTGACAAAAAGTTAAAACATAAACTCAATCCATAAAATCAATTTGAAAGCTATTTTAATCCAAGTCTAACATCAAATTAATTATTAAAATGTAATT